TTCCCACTACTGCCTAACACCTGCACACCTTAATCTGAGGCTTCTGTTGCAAGGAAGCCCTCATGTTGGTCCTCTACATTGGCTTTTCAGCAGCTTAGGCCTTGTCTACACTACCGAGGTAAATCCAGTTAAATTATGCTACTCTGGTTCCATGAATAATGTAGCTGGAGTCAGTGTGGCTTAGGTCAATTCACCAAAGCGTCTACACTGTAGACACAGGCAATGCTCTCTCATTGACTTATCTTATTCTTTTCATTTCAGTAGAGTACTGGAATGGACTAGAGAACAGGGTACAAGGCCTTTGTGTGAAAATAGGTGGCAATTCCTACCAGCTAGGTGCCTGCATTATAATCAGCACCCTTGTTAGCAATCTCAGCTGACATGTCAGAGGATGGAAAGACTACAGAGGTCTTCTTTAACTGTACTTTGGTTCTTAACATTTTCCACAATGACTATGACTGGTGCAGCTCCACAATGGGGAACCATCTTATAGACAGGATGCCAGCTATGTTGGTCTTTTCAGCAGTGTCTCGTCTAATCTTCTAAGGAGGATTAGACAACAGTGTAATTAAAATGCTAATGGGCACCTGGAGCCCTGCTGTTGTTGCTATGCCCAGGGGAGCGGCACCATTAAGAAAAAAGGTCCAGCAGACTCGCCGCCAGACAGAAAGCTCTTTGTGATCTCTCTCTCCAGAAGAGGATTGAAGCACTCTGGCAGGGCATAGGATTGCCAAGTGTCCAGTTTTTTACTGAAAAAGGACTGTGGTGGCTCTCATCAGCACTGCTGAGCACGCCATTAAAAGCCCAACTGGCACAGGGCTGGCCAGCTTCTTCCCTGACTCTGCACGGCTGCTGGGAAGTGGCCCGCATGTCCCTCTGGCTCCTAGGTGTAGGGGCAGTCGTGGGAGCACTGCACACTGACGTCACCCTGAGTGCCGGCTCTGCAGCTCCCATGGCCAGAACAGTGTGAATTCTTTTCATGATGGACTATTCCTAGAAGGTTCAAGACTGATGCGGAGGGAGGAATTAGCATATGAAATGCTCAGGTCTATGCACCGATCTCCTGGCAAGAGCCAGATGGAAAAGCCATCCATGTGGGAACCCTTGCCTTTACCTTTTTCTTTATATCCATTCAGCATCAGTCTGCTACTGTCCTGTCAGCCAGCCACATCCTCAAATACTCATGTCTGTGTTTCTTAAGGCCTCCTTACTTGAATCTGTCACATAGCCCATTCAGGCACTGGCCCTAGTTGTGTAAGGAAAATACCCGCATTTGAGAACAATAAAGTCTCTCATAATTTCTTCATTTTGTATATTCTATGATAAGAATATTGCCAGGCCAGCTGCCTCCCAAGTGACCCCTTGTAGCCTGATATTGCTCTGCAGCCGCTCTGACTCAGTTTCCCCACTTTTCAGGGCTACCTCAATCAAACTACCAAACAATTCTTCTCCGGGCTGCACACCTCTCCTTGGGGACAGATATATTAATCTAGCAAAATTATTTCCAAAATAAAGACGTCAAAAATCCTTCCCGAGGCCAGTCTCTTCTTTGCTTGGCATTCCTCATGTGTAACCCTTTCCCAATAGACACAGGGCTCCCTGATGGAGGCTACCCACTGCCAACAGGCTCTGTAGTGTCTCTCTCCAGAGGCATCAACAGCCTTGCTGGGCCCCTTTGAAAGGTGGGAGGAGAGCCTGGCTCTGTGCTCCTGCAAGGGGCAGGGCCTCAGGTTAAAGGGGCCGGGTCATGGCAGCCAGTCCTCAGCAAAGCCCGGGCCGCCATGCACCCCTCCCCCACCCAGTCCTCAAAGCCACCCATAGAATGCAGTGCCACACTCCAGCGGCAATTTTAAGGGCCAGAGCTCCAGCTGCCGCTGTCACAGTAGTGGCAGTGGATGTTGGGAGCCCTGAGCCCTTTTGAATTGTCAGGTCCTGGGGGAGTTACTCCCTTCCCCTCCACCGTCGCCAGGTCTGTTTTTCTGCCTGAGCATCTCCATCTGTGCAGCTTCCCGCTGTTCTTTATAGGAGAATCTGTGTCTCCATACACATTCGGTTCTAGTATCGAAATCCCACACCCCATACAAGCTAATAGTAAGGAGCTCATGGCACCAGGCCTCTGGCACTTTAGTGGCAGGCCACCCCAGCATGTGAATCGAGGTGTTTGCTTTAAGCCTTTAGTGTTTTCTACTCAAAATAAATAATAATTGTTAATCACAATTACTCAGAGCACAGTTATTCTCTGACACCCTCTCTAAAGTGGGTTCCAGGTTCACTGCAGTGAAGATGTCTGAGAATTCCACAAGAAAGCACTTTAAATGCAGAAAATGATTTGCCATCCAGTAGCTGACAAGGTGAGTTTCTTAATGCTTCCTGAAACAAAGTGGCAGAAACAAAATACCTCAAGGTTTCTAAGAACAAGCAGTCCCAGTAAATCACTTAACATGGCATTCAACAGCTGAACTCACCCGTCTTCTCCGCCTTGTGTTTTGGACTTTCTTGTCCTGGAAGGCATGGGCAGGGCCCCTCACATCGCGCTGCGATAGTTTTGGCAGACGTACAGGCATGAAACTCCAACTTGCACTGCAATTGCAAGAACATAGGAATGCACTGCGGGTTAGCACAAAATGTAGATGCAGCCCCTCTGGGCAAACACGAAATCACACACTTAGCCATACTAATATTTGTCAGATTAAAAAATTCATCCTCTCCTAAAGGTGTTCAGATTTTTAATTAATAATAATAATAAAACCTACTTCTTACATAGTGCTTGTCATCAGCAAAGTATCATTATCCCCATTTTAATAGATGAGGAAACTGAGGCATGATGTGACTTATCCATGGTCATGCGCCAGTGCAATGGCAGAGCTGAGAGCAGCCCTCACATCTTCATAGAGCCAGTCACTGCTTTATCCAATATGTATCACTGCCACTCTTCAAATATGAAGTTCAAATTTAAAAATCAAGCCAGTCTCTGTGGCCTGTTTATCTCAAACTGCTACAGATAATATCACTCATACCATAGTACACATTAATGGCCTGGTCTTGTCAGGTGCTGACTCCTCTCAACTTCCAATTAAATTAATGGGTCTCACTGAATCCATGGCAAAACTTTACTCCGTTCAGTGGTGGGGGCAAAGGGAGTTGAGAGCATTCAGCTCTTTGCGTCATATATGGGTGCGTCTACACTGCATCATAACTTGAAATAAGACACACAATTGGAGCTACGCAAATTGCGTATCTTATTTCGATGCTATTTCAAAATAGTTTATTTCATCATTTGATACTGTCTACACAGTGCCAAATTTCAAAATAAAGCACTATTCCGAAATGTTCCTTCCTCCTCATGGAATGAGGTTTACAGGGACATCGGAATAGCGAGCCCAAAATAATGGGTTTGCTGTGTAGACGCGGGATAGCTATTTTGGGATACTCCGGTATCCTGAAATAGCGTCGCAATGTAGATGTACCTTTAGAGACCAGTCCCTAACCAGCATGAACAGCTCTTCAATGTGCAGCCTTCAGTAGGACTTCTCTTACAAGAAAGTTTTAATTGTTCATGCAAAATATATCTATTGGCTAGATTATAAGTTGCCTGAACAACTGTGTAAAGTCACTCCCCATAAAAACAGAATAACCACTGAGAAATGCAGCCAAGCCCAGAAATATAATAAGGCCACTAACCAATTAGTGCTGAAAGAAGGTAAGTAAATTGGAGGGAATTTTCCCATCCCCTTAGTCTGAGCAAACAGATGAGTTTTACAGCATGTCTTGAAAATCAGGAGATTCCAGATTGTTAGAACAACGGGGGAAATGTTGTACCCAAATGGAAGCAACGAAGGAAAACTATTGTTTAAAAAATGTGCTAACAAGAAATGCAGGTACATATACATAATGTACTTATTGTTCATTGCCTTTACTGTTAGAATGACATATATTGTATCACTGATTCCCATTTAACAAAGAGTGTATTTTCAATTGTTGTTCCTCTGCAGCTATAGTGTCAGAGACCTTTTCCCCATATTGAACATTACAACAATAAAAAGAGCTGATCTGACAAGGTGCCAGATAAGGTCTTAGTACTTGACACTGCAATTGTTGGTGCGTGGGCTGACCCACAACTGAAATGCTACATGTGATAAAAGAACACTGATTTTTATTAGAGATTCTTATTTTTTTCCTCATTTTTTTAGTGTAGGTCAACGTTTTTAGAACCCAGCTGCAGTGACATGGTACATTTTTGAAATGCATAAATTGATTAAAAGGTTGAAAGATCAGTCTGTAATGTTACCCCATCAAAATGCAGTGGAGAAACATCACTTCTGCCGTAAAACCCACTGAACAAAATGACAGAATCTTTTATTATATTGGTACAATAGAAGCAAAGCAAATGGAATAGGATGTTGTTCCAAGATAAATGCCTTCTACTTTGAAAATTCTGTAAATATCTTGGCTTTGGCTCTGTTTATTTTTTGTTGAAAGGGCTCAGCTTTGCCCAGGCTTTAATCTAGCAGCAGGAGACTATTATCCTGTGACTACCCCCCATTCCATCAACATTATCTCCCAGGCCCATTTTGAACTTCAATGCATCCTGGTTGGTTGTATGCTCTGTATGATGTTCTGCCCTTCTGATTTAGAGAATGCATAGACATGTGTATACACATGTGGCTTATCTTAGCTTTATAATACTTATTCCATGTATGGCTATGGGGAATGTAAGTACATATTTTGCACCTTTATGGAAAAGGCATAAACACAATGATGTTTTTATGCCAAATGCAAAACATATGCATTAAAAAGTGACAGACAAGGAAAGGGGAATGTTCCACAATTAAAATGTTCAGGAAGTGAAGGCCTTCTCTGTACAGCCTGTTCTTCATATTCAAGAGATGTTATTGAGAATACAACAATTCATTTTTCTAGAGCTGAAGTTCCCGATGTCTTAGCCCTTTACAGACCAATTAATTATCTGTTTTATTAGGTAGAGTAAATGCAAATGATGTATCAAAGCAATAACAATTATAATTCTAATATTTATCCTTAAGATGGTAAGACCAATTTCAAACTCATTATCACAATCTGTTAAGAAAGAAAGATAGATTGGTTTCAGGAAACTGTAAGGCTATGTTTTCATGGCTTTCCTTTCTACTGATAAATCAAAACCAAAACAACCAGCAACAAAAAAATGCCAACTCAAAAGCTCATTGAGGAAACTGGAATCCGATTAAAACAGATAAATTCTAGGATAAGAATTTACAAGGATAAGAATGAGGTCGCTGAAGGGAATGATTCTACAAACACACATTCGAGTAACCTCATGCTCATGAGTAGGCCCATTCTCATGCTACTTGTTTCAAGTTAAGACTAGCCCAATTCTAAAGATTAAGTTAAACCGATGCCAAAGACAGAATAACGTAATTCAGGACACAGCTATGCCAGTCTCTTTAAACATTTCCATTTCCTTAAAAAAACAAATGGAGATGGCTTCTTTTCCCTAGAGTGTCCTGTTGCCTTAATCACAGAATCTTAGGACATGAAGGGAACTCAAGAGATCACCAAATCCAGCCCCCTGCACTCATCGTTAGACTAAGTATTAGCCGTAGATCATCCCTTACAGGTGTGTCTAACCTGCTCTTAAACATTTTCAATGATGGGGTTTTAGCAACCTCCCTAGGTGATTTAATTCAGTGGTTAACTAATCTGAGAGAAATTTTTTCCTAAAGTCCAACTTAAACCTCCGCTGCTGCCATTTAAGAGCATTGTTTCTTGTCTTATTATTAGAGGTTAATGAGAACAATTGTTCTCACTCTTCCTTGTAATAACTTTTTATTGTAACCACCTTTTAACTTGAAAACTGTTATCATGTCTCCTCCCAGGCTTCCCTTTTCCAGAATAAACAAACCCAATTTTTTTCAAACTTCCCTCATATGTCATGGTTTCTAGACCTTTAATCATTTTTGTTGTGCTTCTCCGGATTTTTTTTCCAATTTGTCCACATTTTTCCTGAAATGTGGTACCCACAACTGGACACAATACTCCAGACAAGGCCATATCAACAGAAGAATTACCCCTCTTCCCCCCTCTCCTCACACAGCAAATACTGACAAAGTTATCAATACAACCGGTCCCCGAGTTATGAACGCATCAATTTACGACCGTTCGTATTTACGAACAACCTCCTATAGAGCCAGAACCTGAGTTATGAACGAAATCCGCACTTATGAACAGCATGGCTGTACATCAGTGAATGTAATCTGACTTACGAACAGTGGCTGTACGTCAGTGAATGTAATCTGACTTACGAACAGATTGATTTATGACCTAGTGTTTGGTACGTAATTCGTTCGTAAGTCAGGGATTGGCTGTACATGGAAGAGGCTGTTCCTGAGAGACTGATTCATAGATCTTAAAGGCTAGACTGGACCATTCTAGTCATTTACTCTAGTTTCTGTATAACACAGACAAGAGAACTTAATGCAGAAATGTCATAAGTGATTCTACCACTCCTTCCTCATGTTGAGTGGTAACTTAATGTGAGTATTTTCCCATTGCTTTAAAAGCACTGTTTAAGATGAGCACAGGGGGCACATAATTGGGCCCTGCATTTGTCTGAAGTTCTTCTATGTTTTCTATTACTGGTGGTTGTGATTTTCCTCTGGTGTAGCTCACTGGCCGTGCAAGACACTTGTGCTTCTTCATGAACGGAGCTACATTTGCCTAAAATGATCCCTAAGGACAAGCTAAATGTTCCTAAATTGTTTTTACTGCAAATGGAAATCAGCTCTATTTTTGGTTGCTAAATGTACATTGATATCAATAACTTAAATGAGGGGGGAAAGGGTGGAATTTATTCATGGAAAATTCATAAATTAATTTATTCACTCAGTTATGGGAAATTATTGCAAAACAGTATTTTGGCTAAAGCGTTCTCCTGAGAATTTGCTACCCTGCTTGAGAAATGATTTCATTTTTATTGTCAGCAAACCGACAGCAATGTGTTTTGCATAACATTCATATTTTGTGGGGGGGAAATAAAACAGCTGCATAATATTTATTCTCTGCTATTTTTTCCCTGCTGTTGTCTGCAGGTCTCCAGCCTGCTGCCTGCTACCAGGAGAAGCCACTGGACACTTTCTTGGAATGTAAATTGAGTAGAATCTCTCTCTAATTTGGCTTTGGACTTTTGAAGGCCAGATTCTGGTCTCATTTGTACCGAGCTAAACACCACTGAAGTCAAACTTTATTCAGATCTCATTTTTGCTGGTGTAAATCTGACTAGCTGTATTGTATTCAGTGATGTTGCTCTAGATTTACCTAGGTGTAATGAGATCAGAATTTCATCCCAGAAACAAGCTTCAGAGGAGAACAGCAGTAAGGGAGAGTTGCTGAGTCACTTGTACACTCTGTTGGGAATATTCTAGCTGTCTTGGAGTATATGTTATGTGATGGCTGTGTTATATGAAGGGCTTTTTAAAAACAATTTTTGAAATATAACACTGTGAAAGGGAAAATACTCACTTTGAAACCTCACATGCTTATGCCATGCACTGAAATACACATTCTAAATGAGAGGATATGAGTAA